GGAGTTCGAGGTTTGGGGGTTTAGATTAGAGGAAAGGGAATATACAAAAAGGGAATAAGAGTTCTACTGAGTTACTACTGGGCATCCTAGTTTAGGGTTTCAGGGGTTTAAGAAGGCTTGGGGGTATAAAGGGGTTCAGGGGTTTAGAGGGCTTAGGGGTTTAGGGGTTTAGCTAAGGAGTTCGAGGTTTGGGGGTTTAGATTAGAGGGCTGAGGGGTTTATCAGGTTTAGTCGATGAACCCTGGGCACCCTACAACCTGAACAGTAACCTTCATACTCCAGGAAGTGCTGCCTGCACTTGGTGCGTGGTCGACTTAAACTGTCTGGTGCTTAGTCGGGAATGGGGGAACGGATCCCTAAAGTAGTCACTATATAATCCCCAGTAAAGATCCCATAATCCATTCCCCCATTCCCTAACAAACACACACACACACAGGCGAGAGGCCGATTTAAATGACCTTGCAGTGCTGCTTGTCTTGGCTGTCTGCCTGTGCAAGGCAGCTACATGGCTCCAAAACGGGCTCGTCCGCAGGCGCCTGCACTTGTTCCGCTTTGCATTTCATACACGTCAGGTCCTTGCGCAAGAACTTCAGGAGCTGAAGCGTCGCCGCACTAGGCACCACCGTCCTTAAGCGTTTGTAGCCATGACTTGCTGCAAATTGCGCACCAGTGAACCTCCGCCACACGGCGGAGGAACAGCTTACTCTTGCCGCAGCTGCAGCGGATCTGCAACTGGTACACGAGCCACTCCGTGGACCCAATTCCATGATAGTAGTATACATGATAGATGGATCCTCCTGGACATTGCTCTTTCAGAAGTCACTGGTATGATCATGTCCGACTGCCCAGGTCCTTCACGCAGACCTTGTTTCATCATATGCCAAGATAGTCGCTACTTAGCCCCAAAAGTATACATAGTACGCGCGGACCCTTTTGTCATTTGGGATAACGAAAAAGAGAACACTGCGATAGATGCATGCCGCATTCGGACACCGAGACGCGCAGCATCTCCCTCTCTGTCTCTCTCTGCCTTTCCGTCTTTCCGTCTCACTGTCGTTTGATCCTCTTCACCCCAGTCCACATCCCTCTTTCTCTGTCTCCCCCTCTCTCTCTCTCTTTCTTTTGGTCGCTGTCCAGGGCAAGCTACAACCTAAGCACTGCAGGTGCTGATGGTGGCCTTGTGTGAGGCACGATCTCCCTCCATTACTTCTGTCAGAAAGAAATTGGCTCTATGGGTTCTCTTACTCGTCTACAATGTTGCAGAGAAATATTTTCTAGGACCGCTGGGGGGGCTTAAGCCTGAAAGTTAGGCCGTCTCGTTCGAGGATGCAAGGCTTCAACCCCCACATCCCAACTCTACTTATGATGGTCCTTCTCAAAACCTCCGTATTACCTAACAGAAGCATTCAGGGAACCTGGCGAGTACATACATTGATTGTCGCCCTTCTTGAGGGGGAGCAGTATAGTACTCTTTGAAGGAACCCACTCCTGGCCCGCAGCCGCATCTTCGTCCGTGGCCTCCTCGATATTGAGATACTCCTGCCAGAGAGCTCTCTGAGGCTAGTAAGCAGGGTTTTGAGTACCCCAATTGGGGTTATAAGCACTTCTAAGTTACCTTACTTATGACCCTACTTACTCTATCCCCTGATCCTTTAAGAATACTTAGACCTTAAAGGGCCAGATCCCCAGGGGACGAAGCGTTATGTGCAATAGCTTTCGTTGTGTTTTAGATCTCTTAACCCGAAAACTAAACCCTAAACCCCTGAACCCCTAAATCCGAAACCATACGAGGCCAAGCAAGCTTTCGGCTCGTATGAAGGTGAGGGGCTGTGGTAGCGTAATCTGTTCGTCAAGACGTCGTTCCTGCCTTGCTGTTCCCACCCTGTTGTATGTATGACATGCTTTGGGCAAATAGTTTGAGGTTCTTGCGCACAAGATTGAAATCGGTGAGCATCGTAAACTCCGCAGGGCTTCCTCTTGGGCTTCTTTAAATTTAGGGTTTAAGAGTTTAGGGTTTCGGGCTCGTTAGTACAATGCCACGAATTCTTCATCTGTGCGAGGGAGGGGTCTATAAGCTGCTCGGGGTGAACGCTTCGGGGATTAAGGTCCATGTTTCACGGGTTTAGGGTGTTTTAGGGTGTTTATAGGGTTTTGTTAGGATTTAGGGTGTTTTAGGGTTTAGGGTTCGGAGTTCGTGAGTTCTGCGGCAGGATTGGAAGGCGACATCCTGCTTGGATTCGGCAGGAGGCAGGTTAAACCTGGGCATACCCCCGACCCGAGACCCGCAACCTGGTGGAATATAGGGGCCTTAATAGTTAGAACAGGGTTTTGGGGCCCATCATACTCTAGAGAAGCCCTACAGCACGCCCCACCTACTGCAAGTATTGCTTGGGTGTCTGAGTTCCAGGAAAAGCTAAAGCTCTACAAATGTTCCTTAAGTGCACTTAGTGAAGGGGGTTGAACTTCCCTAAACCCTCAACCCTAAAACCCCAAACCCCCAAAAACACAAACTCTAAACCCTACAACCCTAAACCCCAAGTACTCAGCTCCTGCAAGACCGGCATGCCAATCTCCAGCCTGTGAACGGGTCGTGGTGCTGAGGACCCCAACGCTCTGAATGGAGGTTCATGAGTATACCCATAGGCCCCAGAGTAGTTCCTTTCTGGGATTACCTTATAGGATTCTATATATGAACCCCAAAAAAGGAACTACTTTGGGGCCTGTGGGTACTAGGAGGTTCATGAGTAGTGGGGTTATAAGTCCCCCAGTATGGTGCTGAGGACCCTAACATTCTAGTCCTGCCAGCAGGTATGTGCAACCTCTATATACTTTTTGAAGTAATACCATTCTGGAAAAGGAGCAGAGCAGAAAAAAACATAAAGCCTATCCTACGTCGAGTCAAGAAATGTCCTAGTTCAAGCGTTTTTGTTTTTGTTCGGTGGCATCGGCAGGACTCAGCAAGCGGCTGGCAAGCGGGTTGTCCTGAGGGCAGTATAGGAAATAGTTAGATGTAGATTATAGACTTGTTAGTTTCGATATATGACAAACTGTGGACTGGAAGGAACAATTTCTATCTAGTAGACTCTAGTAACTTCCAGATGTTTATGTCAGCTATATCTGAAAGCCTTCCCAGACCTCCCAAGCGAGGTTTCGGGATTTCACGTCTCGGGCTTAGGGCGTGCAATAGACGCATGCACCTCTGACTCTTTGAAGGCTTGAAGCTCAGTCCATATTCTATCGTAGAAGCTTGGGAAGCTTGGATGGTTCACTGACCTTGATGGCTTTGCGTTCGGGCTGAAAGCCTCATAATCCAACATGCGGCCTTAATGGATGTAGAGATGAGAAGGGAATGTTCTAATCATACTAATTAAGACCATCTTTGGGACAGCTAAGATCACTTCTGAAAGGCGCTAACACAACTGCCAGAACTCAGGAGACGCGCCTGCCACTTGGTGGCTGATGCCGAAAGGAAAGACAACTAACAGCCCAAAGCTTGAGCCGGACTATTTTAATTTTCGGGTGGCTGAGGCATCTGAGCAACTTTCAGGTTTTTGGGGGGCTAGGCTCTGCCGAAGCTTTGGGATTGGTGGCTTGGTCGTTGAGGGTTTGGTGCACATGGGAGTTTCTTACAATAAGGGACCCTGATATAGTACCCGAAATAGTAGGATCCTTATTCTAAGGAACCCCCAAATAAGGTACCCCTAGTTTTGGGAAACCCTAACCCCTTTGTAGAACCCTTTAAAGGAACCCTCTAAAGGAACCCTTTAAAGGAACCCTTTAAAGGAACACCTATTTTTGGGAAACTCCCGTTTAATTATCGTTTCGCCTGCCCGGCTAGATCAAAGAAACGAGATGGACCCGGGACACCTGGTGTACGTAGTCGCGCAGACCAATCGATGTGAGCGTGTGTGAGAGAAACAGAGAAAACGAGAGAGAGAGAGAGAGAGAGAGAGAGAGAGAGAGAGAGAGAGGGAGCGAGAGAGAGAGAGAGGGAGGGAGAGAGACAGAAAGGGAGGGAGAGAGAGAGAGAGAGAGAGGGTAGAGATACAGGCTGAGACCATGTGGGAAAAGGTATTAGGACTAGGGAGTTTGCTGCTGCTGCTGCGGCACACACTCCTGCTACTACTAAACTACTACTGACGAGGCTCTTTGTTCGTGTCTACCCCCAAACCTAAGTCAAACCCGTCATTCAGACCATGACTGTGTCAAGAAGGTCTGAGAATTCAGTTAGCTGCGTCCTGGCTGTCTGCCTTAAAGGAACACGGGTAAGAGGTTTATCGAGTTTAGGATCCATTCTTTAAGAATTCCCGCATGCGACCGTCCCTTACGGAACTGCTCTCCTAAATGTATGGCTGGACTTGTAACAGGATCATACTGCGTAGTGTCTGCATGAAGGGTACCCTAGAGTGCCATTAACTCTCAGTCTGAAGCCTATGAAGCTTACAATAGTCACCGTGCTGTTACTGCAGTGATAAACAATTCGGATAGCTATTATTGTAGCGAACTCCATATACCTGTTCACTGTGGAGTGCTGGGCTTGTATTTGTCTTGTTTTGCACAAGCAGTATAAAGTTTACAACCTTTTGGGTATGGGTCATGTTGTGACTAGGGCCCTTGTTGAGGGAGCAACGTATCCCAATAACAGCAGCAACGACGAGTCGAGCTAGCCGTGATTGGGGTTTGCCGTGATGTCAGTCGAAGATGTGGCTTATTTTGCTTGGAGGTTTGGAGAGGTTGTTGCGAGTCTTAAGATTTGAGCTGCAGGTCTGCCTGGGAAGATGCCTACTAAGGAACCCTGAACACTAACCAAACTCTACACGTTTCCAGCCTTGAAGCCCTAAACCTTGGATCGAACCCTATAGAGTCTACTAGTACATAGTCGGGATAGGGTTAAAAACATAGATTTTTCTTATTGGGCTTAAGTACCCATAAATATGTAAAATGTTGCCCAACTATGTATGACAAAGTCTACAAAGCCCTAGACCCCCCGAGCAAACGACGAACGTACCGGCCGTTGAGGAACTCATCCTCGCATTTTCCAGCAGCGGCTAAAGCTTCGGGGGTTGTATGGCTTGGGGTTTAGGGGTTTAGGGTTTATGGGTATACGGCATTTCCCTTATAGGATTCATATTGAAGCACCAAACCCTGATTTTTTACTTTTTACGGGTTGTAAATAAGGATCACCTACAAAACGGTAGGTGCAAAACGGTGGGCTATGTCAGTTCAAGGGTGGGGTCCATGCAAGGATCCCGAAAGAGCTCTAAAAGGGGCCTTCAGGGTTCTCTCTCCTGCGGCGAACAGAACTATCTATTATAGGATCCTTAAGGGGGGTGGTTCAAGGGGGGAGGGTACTATGGAGCTTTGGGGAACCTTAGGGAAGCTTAGGGAGTATTGGGGAATAATGGGGATTACTAGGTTACCTACCCCGCTTGGACCACCCCCCCTTAAGGACATCCTAAATCTACCTGCGCGTCTTCAATTCTCAGTTCCTACAGACAAGGCTTAGAAAACCTCAACAGAACAAAGCTCAAATCCTCGAAGACGGTTTAGGGTTTAGGGGTTCAGGGTTTAGGCAGTGTAACTACGACAGAATGCATCCGGCCAGCTCATTGAACCCGATGCCGGGACGGTTGATGAGCTCGGGGCATAGCAGGACATGAGGTCTGTGGCGGGGTGGTAGATTTGATCAGGCCGCAACTTCTTCCCGGGCTGCCGGCTCCCAGGACGAAGAAGAGAAGGAAGACGGCTACGGTCCCGGCGCCGATGATTAATCTGTGACCAAGATTGAAAAAGTCTACAATTTGCAAAGGGTTCGTGGCTGTGAATAGAAGACAGACAAGCGAGGTAGAAGCTCACCCCTGCTCTTCGGGCTGGCCCTGCCCTGCAGCCAATAGTAGAAACACGGAGTTCGAAGAAGGAGACAGAGCGTCAGCTCAAACCCAACCTACGAAACCCTCAAGCCGAGACCCCGAATCCCGTTCAACCCGACATTTTAAAGCCTTTCTCCTGACCCTAAAACTATACTGAACTTAGAACTTAGAACCCTAGCAAAAATTAGAATTTTAGCTGTTTCTTAGGGATGATAATAACCAAAAATTAAAAATCATTTCTAAGTACCCCTAAGAAAACTCAAAAGCCTGAGCCTGAAAGGCGCTACATGGCGCTGCACTCACTTGGCCTCGTCCGTAAACCCCGAAACACCAAAGCCATAAAACCCGGAGACCACGGTTTAGGGTTTAGGGTTTAGGGGTTTAGGGGTTTAGGGTTTAGGGTTTAGGGTTACGGTTTTCCCTTCCCGTTGCCCTTGTAGGTCATTACCTATATTCTGCATTGCAGTTCCTTTTCGGGGTGACCTTATAGGTTCCTCACTAGAGATTTGGTCAAGACAAAAGAGAAGGAACTCCAACGTGTGTATTGCGCAACCCCGCAAACATTTCAAAAGGGTTCTCTTTTTGAAGTAACATGATGCACGTGTATTACGCACATACCTGAACGAAACAAGTGCTGAGCTGCTTAGACCGAAAACAACACCGTCGACACAGTCTAAAGTTTAAGACGACACTTTTAGACGTGGGGAGCAGCTTCAAAGGCATGAACCCTGATCCCGAAAGCCTATCCGAGGCGGCATAAGGATACAGTAGGGTTCTGGCTTACCCTGAGGGTCCATGTACCCATATAGAGATACATGAGCCCCAGAGTACCTATATAGGGACCACATTAAGACCAATGTATATGTTATATGAGTACATGGACCCTCAGGGTTAGGGTTAAGGGCTTAGGGTTTACGGGGACACTCTGATGCTTGAGGCAGGGAGGCTCCAGCCTCTTCAGCTTTGCTTTGCTCTACCCATAGGCCCCAAAGTAGTTCCTTTTTGGGATTACCTTATAGGATTCTATATATGAACCCCCAAAAGGAACTAATTTGGGGCCTTTGGGTAACATAAGGACGAAAGAGGGCTGCAGGGGGCTGCGTCGAACGGCTTCTCTCAGAAGTCCGCTTACGGAGGTCTACTATGGACCATAAGTCCCCCCCACCGGGATCTTTAGAGTGTCTACGACCGGAGGCGAAACACCTGGTGAAACATCACATCCGAAACCTCAAATCCCAAATTTCAAGCCCTCAAAGGAAAACGCCCGGCCAAAAAGCCCTAGGTCGAAACTCACGCATCGTTTCAAGACATGCCCAAGCCTACCTTGCTCATATCCTAAACGCCAAGACTCCCGACAACAACCATCTCCTCAAAGAGGAGATAGTCTCAGTTTTGGGGTCCCCAACAGTACTTGGACTCAACGGGAGTGCTTGGATTTTCGGGGCTTCATGTAGGGCTTGAACTGTGCGCATTCCTTGCAGATTTGCCGTAAACCTTAAACCCTATGAGCCCTAAACCCTATAGTAGACCCTGAACCCTATAAACCCCAAATTACCCTATAAACCCAAACCGTGGTTTGTCCATCTGGCGGCCGGCCTCTCCAGCAAAGCCGGCCACGCAAAGTTCCTGCACAGCAACCCGTGGTAACCCCCTCACCCCGAACCCCCATGCCGAATTCCCAAAAGGCTTAAACCAAGAAGACAAAGGCCCCCCAAAACCAAAACAGGTCTTGAGGGATGGCTTGGACACCGATCTGGATGGGTTAGACACCAGGAACCGTGAACGATTTGGACACTTCCGTTCACGAGTTTAGGCTTGTTATTTCCCACCCGCACACACCTTGCCTGAGCTGCCTTACTGTATAGAAGTCCATAACTCAAATCAGGAATGCAACTTCGGAAGGGCGAGCCTTGCAAGCAAATGGCTTGAAGGCTCAAGACACATAGGGTAAGCAGGTCTAAACTAGCCTACGTGCAATCGCCCTCGAAACCTCGCTTCTCCCTTTTCTCATTGTGAGCTTCTGAGCTGCGATCTTCTGTAGTAAGCTGATCTACTCATTGCATCTTCCAACAAAGCCACTGCCACTGAACGACATGCAGCCTGATAAGATAGCCCTCTAGCTCAAAACCCAAAGCCCACCACAAAAAACCTGACGACCCTAAACCTATAGCCCTAAAGGGTCCATGTACTCAAAGAGTATATACTTTGGCCTTAAAGTAGTCCCTATGTAGGTACTTTGGAGCCAAGGTATATATGGGTGGTTGTCAAAAATACGGTCCTTTTTTGGTACCCTAAATATTCGGTGCCGTACCATCATAAGGACCCAAAAGGGACCATAATTTTGACAACCACCCATATATACTAATTGCTTTCGTGGACCCTTCAAACTATATAGTCCCAAAGCCTGGACTCCTTTCCAGAAATCCTCAATGCGCAACGGCGTCATCTTAGACATAAACACCATCATCCTCAATGCACGATTGAGTCAGGGCTCAACAGGTGATTTGGGCCCATGTGTTTTTAGGGGCTTGCGAGGATGAGGCCTAATATCCGACTTTGAGGTTTTGCAAGACTGAAAGCTTATGAGTCTTAGGCTTTGTACCGGTCTACTGAAGGCTGTCAAAGGCGGAACCACATTGGCGTCGTGCCGTAGACCCCTGAAACTCAAGTTCCAGATGACGGGCTAATATAGGGGCCGTAATGGTTAAACTGGGGTTGTGGGGCCTCTGTCAGCGTGAATGCTAATGCGAGTCCTAAAACAGAGCATTGGTGAGTAGGCGAGACTATTCAAAATGAGACCGGCCTGGCAAGCTGGAACGCCGGGCATGACCTGTGCCCGTTTCCCTAAATTTCGTTGTTCGACCGCTGTGTATTAAAGGTTCAGGTATGTGTTTCTCAGATTCGGACATCGGACCAAAATATCAGAAACTGTTGGTTGGGACTTAGGGACGTTTTCCCTTCGTTTGGCGATGGTCTTGGTCGGCAGATGTCTGCAGGGGTCACAGACAACGCAACAGGCGAAGTCTGGTCCTCTGACGTCGATGGCTTCCGGGTCGGGCACTTTAGTTTGGGTGCTTCGATCACAGCTCTTTATGAGGGGCCTGATGAATGCGAACGGGATTGTGCGGTGCATTATGCTGTCCCGAACATGGGGACTCAAAAACCCTAAACCCTAAGTCGGTTTCGCCGACCCTTCGTTACTAGATTCAGGGCTTCCGGCGAAGATGGAGAGAATTGCGGGCCGTTGAAGTACCTGCTGGTCACCGAATGTGCAATGGTCGGGCCGGTAAGCGCAATTGAGAGGGCCGGGGGGCGAATCGTGCTGTGAGGTGCACTTCTGGCTGTTGTTTAAGCTCACCCGGCCAGCCGGACGCTGCACTGCCCTTTACGCTAGGCTCTGATAAACCCCAAACCCTGACCCTAGACCCAAAACCACGAACCTTAACCCTAATCCCTGCACCCTTTATCGCTTCGGGCTGACGACCTCTACTCTCTGGAAGATGAGTGCCCCAACACACCCAAGCCGAACACCATTACCAGACCAGCTGCATTTCTGTAGCGTACCTGGTATATCGGGGGAGCAGCCTGCTTTGTAAGTTTCCGGACAGTAGTACTAGTACTAGTACTAGTACAAGTACTAGTACTATAATTACTAGTACAAGTACTCGTGCGAGTACTAGTACTAGTACTAGTACTTCTACGGACTCCACAACCATGGGAAACCTTGACTGAAGGCCTGCTTAGGATTCTTTTTTTTTGGAGGGGGGGGCTCCTTTCCACCGGCAGAACAGCTAGAATTCCTTATCGGGATGAACCTGTGGTAGGGACCTCAACCTACTTAGGGTTCAGGGTTTAGGGCCTACTTGCATCTTGAGGGGTGCATTCAGGTAGGGCTTTCCGTAGCTATGAAATTGTACAAGCAGTGGCTGTAGATATGGCGCGAGATACTCTTGTGTGATAGCCACCTTACTTGTTTACCCATGATCCTTGAACGCCCGCATTTCAGGGACATCGGCGAATCTCAAGATGAAGCGCCAAAAAACGTTTCCGAGCCTGTGGTGGAGCTGGCGCCGGTTGTTGCTCCCCTGTCTGCGAAAACAGCTGTAAACAAGTTATGGTCTTCTTTCTTCCGGCATCGGGGCCGGGGATGCCATGCAACTCGGATGTACAGATTTCCTTCATGAGGTAATAGGTAGTAAGGGTCTAATAGAAGCCAGATGGAGCGTCTGGGAACATGGTTCATGAAAGTTGCGCTACTATGAGGGCCCTCCTGCATGGAAGTTGCCTGTACCCTCCTGTCCCTATCCTTTGATCTTCGAGTAGCGTGGGAAACCAGACGATGTGAACACCTTCACGTGCAAGGCTTAGGATTTGGGGATAGAGAGGAAAGAGATTCTGTTGTTTTTCGGATCCCTGTCACCACAAGACGGAGATCATGACCTTTGCAGCCGGAGTGGGAGCAAGTCCAATGACCCGTGAAGTAGAGTATGCTCAATTCAGAACTCAGATAGACTTGCGCAGACACCAGCGCGCCTGGGGGGATAATGATTGGCGTCGGCTGCGAAGTCGTCGTTGCCTGGTCTGGTTTGGGTCTGAGAGTTACAAAGACCAAAGTACCTCCCCAAGAACACAGAAAATTATCTGATCTGATTGTTGTAGGGCAAGCTTGGTATGATGAAGCAACTTTCGCTCTTTGTGAAGACTTTGCCATGAAGGTAGCCGTTCGTTCCTCCTGTATGGCTTCGCCTCGCTTTATGAGTTATTAGTCACTATGCCGATGGTAGTTTCAACAAAAACATCTGAAGCTCCAGACACTAAACCTCACAAGCCCACACCTAAAACCTCAAACACAAAACTCCTCGAACCCCGAATCCTAACATTACGTTGGAGCCGAAAACCTTCAATCCAAAACCAAGATTCTCAAGAGGAGGCGAGGCCTTGCAGGCTTTATGAACATAGCCGGACAACGATACGGACAATGATGCTGATAATGATGACGTAAACCCTAAACGCCTAGAACAATACTCCCTTGCGGTCGATATAGTCCGGCTTAGAGAGCCGAATCCGGGCTTTTCTAGTGCTTGGGCTCAGGACTTCAGGTGCCGGATTGACAGTTCGCTCATCTGGCTTCATGATATGTGCTTAGGGTTTAGGGTTAGGGCGTAGGGTTTTTGGGCATTTAAGCTTAACTTATCCTACTCTGCGTGCTTACAAGAAGAGCTACAGCGCCGACTACAGTCTTGTTGCAACACATCGTCTAGCCTCAGGTCCCTTCAACAATGTTTCAGGCAAGCCGATGAGTGGGTTTATAGATTGGTACTTAAAGGATCATGGGACTTAGTAAGTATAGTTAGTAGTACCTTAATTGGGGTTGCAAGAAATTATAAGTGTATTTACCCTAGTAATAACCCCAGTTACTAAGTCCCATGACCCCTTTTGTAGACCCTAAACCCTAAACTCTAAACCCTAAACCTACATCCCTTTAAGGAACCCCTATAGATGCCTTTTTAGGAGCCCTTTTAAGGACCCTCCAAGCAGCCCACAGGGTCGGTGAAAAGTCGCTGGCGGATCTTTAAACATCGAGGCCGCTACTCAGTCAAAAAATCCTTCCGGGTGCTTCTGTTGATGATCTATATATATATATATATATATATATCTCCTGCATTACCTGAAGGACTCTAAACTATAGAAATTTATGGTATATTCCTTCTTACGGCATTGAGGGCAATGCAGGATGTATATCCCCAACCGCAAACGAATCGTTCCAGGCCGAAAGACCAGTCCTTTGATAACTTCGATCCTCAAAAAAAGGCCCAAACTCCACACTAGACTGGACCCGTAATGTAGGGGCCTTAATGATTTGAATCGGGTTTTGGGCTCCTTCATAGCATAGTTATAAGAAGGAACCCTAAGGAATAATATTGGTGATTGTTTAGGCTTCTATAGGGCACACCTTTATTATATAGCTGGGGCGCTTCTCGACTGATCTTTTTGGTCCTCTGGTTGTTGCAATTCAGAGCCCGACGGCCTGAGTGCCCTGGCCCTAAAAAGGTTAACCTTTTGGAACTGTAGTACCTAGAGGCTCATACCCTACCCCTGTTGTAGGGTACCTAGTTTTATGGTTAGGATCTGTTAGTTATATAGAAAGGTAGACAACCTGAAAAAGGGGTTGGGTATGAGTCCATAGGTAGGAGTATATAAGCCCCATAAGGCGGCTAAAGGTTGCCCACTCAGCCCCTATGCACGACCCTGAACCTTGGCTTTGTCTTCCTGGTGCTTAGGTAGGGGATGGGTGAATGGATCCCTATACTAGCCCCTAGAATATCCCCGACAATAGTCACCATAACCCATTCCCCCATTCCCTACCAACCCTAAGGGTCCATGTACCCATATAGCATATACTTTGGGCCCAATGTACCTATATAGGGAGTACTTTAAGGCCAGTGTATATACTATATGAGTACATGGACCCTTAGGGTAAGCACCAGGGAATTGTAGCGAGTTGCGGCACGGTCGTCAATCCATCCCAAAGCTGTGGGTGCAGGATCCATCGGCCTGGTTCTCGCAGACTAAGGTTTAGGGCAGAGCCCAATACCCGTAATTAAGGAATATAGCTTAAATCATAATATGAAGCCCTACATAGTTTAAGCCAAATTCCTTAATTAAGGGGTATTGGGCTCTCTGGGAATATGACATCAGAAGCGTCCATAACCCTAAGGGTCCATGCACCCAAATAGCATATACTCTGGCCTGTCAATACCTTACCTATATAGGGACTGACTTACTGGCCAAGTATGTACTACTTGGGCACATGGACCCTTAGGGTAATAAATTAAGGTGTTGGGGTATACTTCCGCACATTTACAATAAGGAACCCAAAGGAACAAGATTGGCAACTAAGTCCCATCTCCTGTGGCCGGAACCGTAAGCTCCCTAGACCCTGAACCGTGAACCCAAAGCCTTAGCGCCAAAAGCAAAGCCCTGCCCTCAACATACAGGGACGAGAGTCAGAAGGCAGTTGGAGGCCTGGTTTGCTTGGTTTTAGGTGGTGGGTAGTTTTGGGGCTCTGAAAAATATTTATGAATAGGTACCTCTATGGGAACCATACAGGGAAACTAAAAGCTTCCCCAATTGCCAGCCAGGCTTAAGGCTTATAATGCGGCTTACAGGCTTTTGGCTTTAGAGATTCGGAATGTTTAGCTTGTGCTGCTGGCTGGGATTCTTGGGTTTGGCACGTGATAGCTAAAGAAAATGGTTTTGTCGTGAGCTTCAACTCTGGTGTTGAGAGGGGTGTACGTCAGAAGTATACGGGACTTTCTGACAATGGGAGACCCTAATAGAGCACCCCAAAAAGTAGGATCCTTCTTCTTATAAGTACCCCAAAATGAGGTACCCCGAGTTTGCGGAAACTCCCATATCTCGGCGGCAGGTATGTCGAAGTCTGCCAAGCCACTGCTTCGTTAATCTTTCCTCTCCGGGTGGCGTTGACGTGCATTAGATGCGGCTTTGTGGCTTCTGATCTTCTTGGGGCATATGGCTCGCTCGTGGAACTAGCTTAGACATCGGGTCCTGTGTGTGTCTGTCTTTAACCCAAAACCCTAAACCCAACATCTAATCCTGTGTCTCTGTGTGTGTGTGTGTGTGCATGGATTTCATCGTGACTTTCTGCAGGACACTTCCTGTACGGCGGATCGAGGCCCGCTCTTTTCGAAGCCAGCTGCTTACGCTTGCAATGACCCAGAGACTGCCCTAAAGCTCCATGTATATACTTCGGCCTTTTTGTACCTATTTCGGGACCCCTTTCAGGCTTAAGTATCTACTTTAAAGGTAGCTGGAGCCTTTGGGCTGCAATCTCGCTTCATCCAAGTGTGTTCAATGACCGGATTGGGAAGCAGGTGTATCTTCCACGGTCAACGACGACGATGACGACGACCGCAACGGCAGCAACAATAACAACAACAACACCGGCAGCTGCAGCTGCAGCTACAACCACAACTACAATACAACTGCGCAGTATGACAGTGTCTTTCAGCCTTCTACCCCGGCAAACCCAAAACCCGCAATCCCTGCTATAGGGCTCAGTTCTTTGGTGCTGCGGAGTATAGGTTTGGATTTAGGAGAGGACTGCCGCTTTGGCGATTGCACTCAAGCGAGCGAGCTTGTCGTCAGTCATCTCACCAAGCATCGAGATCCGGTTTTGAGCATACCCCAGTTTTGCAGAAGTTGTACGGTTTATGTAGGGGTTCAGGGGTTTGGGGGATAAAATTGTGGGGGGGGTCTTGTTTAGGGTACTCTAAGCTCAGAAACCTCGAGTTGAGTCTCTGCTTCTACCCCCCAGATCAGCCCTCAACTTACCTTTGGCTAGTGGGATATGGAGGAATGGGGTACAATCATATATTACTATTACTACCATTTTTCCATTCCCTACTAACCAAATTTGGTAAGTCAAACCACCGCATCCCACCCACATCCAAGCATGAGACTAAACGTTGAACGCCGAGGGCAGCACTCGCCGTCCAAACCACAATCCAGCCTGTTTTGTGAGGGTCTACACGGTCTACCTGGACCCTAAAGAATTCTGCCTTTTTAGGGCTCCTGATTATGATGTCCATTTATAAACTCTTATTAGAATTAAAGGTATTTTATGTGGGATCCACGTCGAGGGTCACACCGCTGGGCCAGTTTAGGTTGTATGGAACCTGGAATGTCGGGGCACTGGACACCCAAGTTTTAGGTTTCGGACTGGGCGTAGTAACGCAGGGTCTAGTTGACCCTAACGGTCCATGTACCCAATCAGCTTATATACTTTGACCTTGAATTCGTCCCTATAGAGGTACTTTGGGGCCAAAGCAACCGTGACCCTGAACCCTAAAACCTACCTATAGTCTCCATTGTAGTTCCTTTTTTTGGTTAACCAAAATCTCTATTATAGGGTCCTAACCATAAAACTGGTCCACCAAAAGAAGGAACTACAACGGAGACTATAGGTAAAACCTAGGCCCTATAAACCTAGACGATTTGGGCGCATGGGCCCACGGGGGGTCGACTTTCCCGGATTTAAAGCGCATCACACTGACCTCGAAACCCCCCTTCAAGCACGTGAAATAAGAAGCCTTAAAGTGGCGTTCCAGAGAGCTTGCTTTCATGAGAGTACTGTATAATCAGACCCAGAACACTACTCCAATTCTTACACGGCCCTTATTGCATACAATATGTTCGACTTCGACCAGCAAACGAACCGCGAAATCCATCAGGAATCGTCACAGAAGCTGGTTCGAATCGCTTGCCATAACTGCGAGCATATAGACTCATGTAGACCAGACAAACGAGACCCGCATCCAAACCTAGGAAGCCAAAGTAGCTTCAATCACAGCAAGTTACGGTGGACATGGTCTACCACTGGACAGGACTAAGTTACCCTAAGGGTCCATGTATTGAAACAGTAATTATGTACATTCGACTTAAAATAGTCCCTATATAGATACTTTAGGGCCAAAGTATATACTATTTGGGTACATGGACCCTACTTAGGGTTAGGGTTATTAACTTCAAAATCGTTGCGCGGCTCTGGGCAAAAAGAGGCTGAAGTCTAGTCGAGAGAGAGGATCGATCAGTCCTGTGGTGTCGATTGAGTTCTGTGGTGTCTTTAAGTTCACGTTCGTGCACCTTCGAAAGCGAATGACCCTGAGGCTCCTCCAGGTACCCATATAGTCTATACTTAGGCCTTAAAGTACCTATATATGAACCCCTTCGAGGCCTACGTAACGACTATAAAGGTACATGGAACCTTTGGGTGAGCCGCTTCTGGTCCGGATCCAAGGGCGAGGAGTACTGTCAAGAATCCTCGCACGACCTTCAAGGCAACGGCCCTGCTTCTGCTCTGACACAAGCTAATATAGGGGCCTTAATCATTAGAATAAGGTTTTGGGGCCCCTTGCAGTACACTTTAATACTTGTAGAATCGAAGGAACCCCCAACAAATAGTGCTGGAGATTCTTTAAGCCGCTATATTGTCCTTAAGTCTCCCCAAGTTCCTCACAGCTCACATGGATGATGCAAGCGCTGTGCACGACCTAGAGCCCTTCCAAATCCCCCCTGGCCTCTCTAGGTGTTGGGGTCGCAGGATTTGCTGGTAACCATAAACCCTAAGGCTCAAAATGGCCCAAAAGTCTTTTATAATAGTATGGTCTTCGGGCCCAAAAGCCTTAATATATGAGCCCTTAGTAAACCCTACCTCGACCGCCCGGGGGGAGCGTTGTGCAGAGAGAGCGGCGGGGCAAAACAGAGTGCAAACGGTTTAGGGTTTAGGGTTTAGGGAAACCAAGTGCGTCCCTCAGGAAACCAAAAAGTTCCAGTTGCCTAAACAGTAGGTTACTCCAACAAATGTATTGGGTGACCCAGTCATCCAACATGCAGGCAACCGGAGGCCAAGGGAACCCTAAACCCTAAACCGTGAAAAGCATGGCAGCTGAACCAACCATAGGTGCTGTTGCCACTGATGCAGGGGCAGAGCCTTGTCGAGGGTGTAGGGGCGGGTTGGGGTTTAGGGGCTTGGGGTGTAGGCTTTACGGCTATAGGGTCTGAGGGTTTAGAGTTTAGGGTGTTCGAGGTTTGGGTTTTTAGGGTTGCGGAATCGAGCTTCGGGTGGAGGGGTCGGGGTTTGGGGTTTTGCTAGTGGCCCCGCTGTCGCGCGACTGGAACCCTGATTCTGGATGGCGCTATGGCTCGCCGTGAAAAAAAAACCGTTTGCCTTCAGCAAGGAGTATGATGCCAATGCTTTCATCCAGTATAACAGAACATGCAGGGATTTGTCTGCAATGGGTACCGTTTCCTTCCACGGAATCGTGGAACCACAAACTATTGTCGGTAACTAATTAAGGCCCTTATACAATGCAACTTTAGATCCCTTGTAGTAATCCTGATAGACCCCTATAAAGGAACCCCCCCCCAAAAAAAATAGTATTGGCAATTATTTCGGCCCCTATGTCATAGCACCCTTTTATAGATCCTGTATAGACCCCTTTAAGGACCCCTTTAAAGATAACCCTAGGCAATTATCAAGACCCCTAGTAAGTGTAGGAAGTTAATTTTCTCCGGCCTCCCCGTTCCTTCAGTTTCAGATTGCCACTTTCTGAAACAACCTTCGAGCTTCGACCTGCCCTGTATTGCTCACACTCTACCCCCTTTTAAGGTACCTACTTTGAGGTTTAGGGTGTAGGGTGTTGGGGATTCTGGGTTTGGCTTTAGGGGTTCAGGGTCAAGGGGTATTTTTCTAACCACAAACTTGAGCACCTTCAAACAGAAGGGGCGGTATGGTAGGAACCTCTATCTTCAGTCCCAAAAGAGCCTTGTCTCGGACGCTGCACCCACCAATCCCAGGTCACACCTATAGTCTCCATTGCAGTTCCTTTTTGGGGTTACCGTATAGTTTTAGGGATCCTAGTTATACATTTGGTTAACCGAAAACAAGGAACTACAATGGAGACTATAGGTAGAATGCTGAGCTCCGCGACACTAAAGCTCAATCCGTAATCCCCTAAACCTGACAGCAAGGCTTACTTGGAGGTTCATGGGTAGTTATAAGTGGGGTGTAAGTCCCTTAGTATGGGTTATAACTATAGTTATCCTACTTATAACCCCACCTATAACTGCCCATGAACCTCCAAGTAGGGGTTCACGCAATTAGGGGTTTAGGGTTAGGTAAAGTCAGGGACACCCTAATTCCTCAGGCTTTGCATAGATTGAAGTTACCAGGACCCACAAGCTACCCGTGTTGGAGCCGTATGTTGATGGCTGGTATGTGAGCATTCGCGGCGGAGGGCAAACGAAGAAAAAAGACGAAGCCCAAATCAAACCTACATGCTTCACTACATAGGCCATCCTGGAAATAGCCGTTTATGGGTGACCGGCCATGATTTCAACTACTTTTGCCGGTTTAGGTGGGCGTTGTGGGCCTTAGGGGTTAAAGCTTCAAGCTCTGGGTTCTAGGCTGCGAAGCCCTGCACCGCAGCCAAGCCGAAACCCCCAAACATCAAAAAAGACAGCAACAAACCCTAGGCACTACCTAGACAACTTATGGGGCTTTGGGATTCGGGGCATTTAAGATTTAGTGTTTAGCGCTTCCTATCTTACGTACCTGAGCCCGGGGACGGCTCGAGATTCGATGGCAGGAGGCCTTCGAATCACCCGGGAGTTCTCCAGCATCGCCGCTGGCGTCGCGGGGGTGAGCCTGAGAGGCTTCGGATGATATAACAGTTATATATATATATATGTATATAATAAGAATAAATATATACGTAGATAAATAAATCAGTATATATGATATATATTTTATATTATATTGTGTTATGCTATATATATATATATATATATATATATATATTATATATATATATATGGGCCTTCAGTGGGGACCGTAATCGGGTTTAGGGTCTAAGGCTAAGGTCTCCTGCGGGGGCCTTAGAAGCATTAAGCGAAGAAGTCTTAATCAGGATGTTGTGCTTTTGGCAAAATTGATATTAAAAGGTTATAAGGCTTTAGTCATGAGAACAGCTTTTTGGTTCATGCCATATGACCGACGCCGGCAAGACACAAACCAAGCTCGAAAATCGATCGGAACCATGCAAAGATTCTGAACCGTGCAAACTACTACGACGAGCACACGAGAAACGTCTTTTGCTTCTGCGCATGCTTCACACACCAGCATCAAGCCCGTGCCAACGCCACAAGTTCCTTAACCAAGAAAACCGTGCAAACGAAACTTGAAAACTTAAGCCCCCCCCCCCCCCCCCCCCCCCCCCCCATCCCAGGCAAAGCAAAACATACCGAAAACGTTCAACCCCGAAGACCCTGACTCTCTTGGCCAAAATGCTTGACCTGAAGCGGCCAACCTCCAAGCTGCAACGCTAATGTGCGTGGTTGTCAAGTTTACGGTCCCTTTTTTGAGGTCCCTATTATAGTACGGCACCTAATATTTAGGGTACCCGAAAAGGTGCCATAATTTTGAAAACCAGCCATGTAGGGGCCTTAATAGTTTTAATAAAGCTTTGGGGTATGGTACGGCATAACTATCCTAAAAGAACCGAAAGGAATAGTATTGGTGTCTATTTGGGCTTCTATATGGGAGTTTCCGAAAATAGGGGACCCTAATATAGTACCCTAAATAGTAGGACCCCGATTATGAGGACCCCAGACTAAGGTACCCCTAATTTTCGGAATTTTCCCCTCGTTAGACTGAGGCCAGCGCGGACAGCGTGGGGCCTCCGAGGCAGTATGGCCTGAGCCCAGCATCAGTGATGATTAGCCCTAAGGCTCAAAATGGCCCAAACGCCGTATATAATACGGTCTTTGGGCCCAAAAGCCTTGATATATGAGTCCTTAGATGCTTAGGGTAGGGGTCGCAGATGCCAAAAAAATCGCACAGATTCTTCGAGTATCTTCCACTTGAAGGTTCATGGGTAGCTGTAAGTAGGGTTTTAAGTAGGATAGATATAGTTATACCCCATGTTAGGGGACTGCTAAGCCCACTTAGAACTACCCATGGACCTCCAAGCATTGCCTGCTGTTTTCAGGAGCCGCGCCACGAGGGGTGCCGTTTACTGAAATTTGTTGGGGCTGTTCAGGCTGCAAGCTTACGAATACTAGCGCTGACCTAAACCCTAACCCTAAGGCTCAAAATAGCCCAGAAGCCTTATGTAGTATGGTCTTTGGGCCTAAACGCCTGAATAGATGAGTCCTTCGAGCCTTAGGGTAACCAGCTGCCTGGTCTTGAGGTTCCTGAGCAGGTTAAGGCGTTCGGAGTTCTGGGTTCGCGGCTTTCGGGCTCAGTCTTGTGAGTTGAGGCTTCAGGAAACAGTACCCTGAGCCTTTAGCCCCTAAGCCGAGATAACCTACCTTTGACGAACCTTTTTATGAAATCACAATAGGGAGCCACAATGTAGGTTGCTTTTGGGAATTAAGGTAAGCCCTGACGCCCAAAACCGCTGCCCCACTCAATCCCACTGCTTCTACTCGTGATATGAGTCAGCTCTAAATGTCAAAGATCGATTCCTTTCCTTCAGGGCTAAGGGCTTCGTAGCTGCTTTGTCACACCCATCAGTCGCATCAACATGACACCTGAGAGAACAAAGAGAACTGCACAGTTGTATGACAATGGTAGCAGCATGTTAGATGCATGCAAAGCATCTCTCAAAGGATGTGCTTTTCATATTTAAGGCAGCCAAGAGTAGTAAAGAGACTTTGGCAGCGGCAACGCACCCGGCTGAAACCTGTACCTGCATGAAGCTTCCTATGCTCATACTTAAAGGATCGGGGACTTAGTAACTAGGGTTATAATTAAGGTAACTCTTCTTGTAACTACTTATAACCCCAATTCAGGTACTTATAACTCTACTTACAAAGTCCCATGATCCTTTAAGTAAGGTCTACATTGCTTTAGGCCGGACAGAATCAGGCCCAAGACTCACCGAAACCGTCAACCCGAACACCCGAAACACCCCTCTCAACCCTCGATTTCTTGCGGGATCCTTTAGAAGGGGCCCCCACCCTGTAATAGTGACTATAAGGACTATATTAGGGTCCTATTATATTCCTACTATACCACTATTACAGGGTGGGGGCCCCTTCTAAGGGATCCTCATGTAAACTCTTATAGAGCCCATGTTGAGCGCCTTCATATGCATGCATCATGGCTGCTAGTCACTGCTCAAAGTTTGCCGAAAGTCCCTGGGATCCTTGCCACCAAACCAGTAGCACATGGTGTTCTCGGGATCCTGGCCCGGTTCTACTTGGAGGGTCGGGGAATTTAGTGCGTCGTTGCTTTATAGCGTTCTAAGTACCATCACCCGAATCAGGGTCCCTTTTAGCATACTCAACTACAACTACTACTTACTGAGTTCCCCGACCCTTCACATAGGGCTTGGGGTTTAGGACTTTAGGGCTTTGGCCTAGGCGTCCAGTCCAGGCTTTCTTGGTTTAGGGTTGTTTAGGGTGAGTGTTTGGGGTTACTTGGAGGGTCGAGGGACTTAGTAAGTAGTTATTATCTAGACTTATAAATACCTTATCGGGACCCTAATTGGGGTTATGCTACTTATAGCTCTATAAAAAATCTACTTACTAAGTCCCCTTATAAGTACCTTAATGGGGACCCTAATTGGGGTTATGGTACTCATAACTCCATAAAGTAACTACTTAACCCTAAACCCTAAACCCTAAACCCCTGAACCCTGAACCCTAAACCCTAAACCCCAAACCCTAAACCCTAAACCTTAAACCCCTAAACCTTAAACCCTAAACCCTAACCCCTAAACCCTAAACCCTAAACCCCAAACCCTAAACCCTCAAGTCCCCATAAATTGAGCTTGCGTATTACACCGTGCGTGGTCTTCCATTACATTCTTTTCAAATTGAAGCAAATACACTCAAAATCATATGATATGCATAGCTGTTTGCACAAGTTCTTGCAATCGAGTTTAAGTAAATTGAACTGATTTTTCCGCCACCACCACCACCAAAATGCAATCGAGTTTAAGTAAATTGCACCAACTATACAAATACCAATACTAATACGAGATTTAGGGTCTAGAATATTGAGCTTTGGGTTTGAAGTCTAGTTAAAGGTTCAAGGTGGGTTTAGGGTAAAGGGTTTAGGTTTTTACACCATGCGTGGTATTCCATTTCATTCTTTTCGAATTGAAGCAAATACACCTAAAATCATATCCTTGGATATGCATAGCCGTTGGCACAAGTTATCGCAATCGAGTTTAAGTAAATTGAATCAGAGCGAAAGTTTGGCAAGTTTTGGGTTCAACTATGCTTCGCTGGTTGATGCCAGAGCGAAAGTTTAGCAAGTTTTGGGTTAGGCTTCGAACCCATGCAGTCGGGAGTCAAAAAGCAAGCGTGGCCACAAATCCGGTTGAAGTAATTCTACAATAATTTTACAGTTCCCAAAACCCTTTCAAGGCTTCGGCCCTAACGAAGCCCAGACCCTAACAAGGAAAGCCTCATACCCTAACCCCAACCCCGAAAACCCCAAACCCCAAGCAGCGAAAACAATCCTAAACTCTAACCCTGAACCCGAGAGCCCTAAACCCTCCTTGACCCTAATCCCGAAAACACTAAACCCGAAAACCCTCCGAGCCCTAAAACCTTAACCCCGAAAGCCCTAGACCCCGAGCCCTAAACCCTACAAGCTTAGCCGGAAACGCCTAGAACCGAAACATTGCAAGCGCACACGGACCACTGCCTCGCTGCCTCTGAGCCCCAACCGGCCTCCAAAGCAAACCCCAAACCCTGGAACCTCTCAGGGCACCAGCCCAAGTCGAGGTCGGACCTGAGCACAAGGAAGGGCAGCGGGGAGGGAGGAGCAAGGAGGAGGGGAAGGGCGGACAGAAGCAAGCACAGCGCGGCAGCGGTGCAATCTATTTTGAAGACGGATGCTAAAGAAAGATGTCGGAAAGGAACATGCATGCCGGCCCCAGCCCCCGAGCCACCGATGCTGGTGTTGGGCGCTCGGCAACAAAAGTTGAATTAAGCAAAAAGGTCAAGGTTTTAATTAGATGAATTCCAGTACCAAAAAAAGGGCCACGCATTAACGGAGCGCATCCCGCAGGGCCTTGCATCGAGCACCTAGTCTAAGAGCTGCCGTAGCAAATCAAATTAAAACGATGACAACCAACCACAAAAACAAGTGCGATGCAAAGCCCATGGCCCGTGAAACGGGGACGAAACAAACCAAGAAGTACCAAAGAAAATGCACTATGCGATCAAGTCAATATTCACCTCCACCAAGTGAGTGCGTCAAACATCTGCATGATCCCAAAACACTAACTAACTAACTAACTAACTAACTAACTAACTAACTAAGAGCAAACCAGGATAACGTCCCCAGTATGTACAGAGGGCGCTCTGGTCGGGGGTTTGTCCTCGGCATCTGGAGGGGAACCTCGCTCCGGCCCGGGTCCCCAATTCTACAACCACAACGATACACCACGGCTACAACCACGAATCACCTAGTCCGAAAGAGAACTAACCGGAACCAGAAACATAATATGAGCAATGCCAAAACCTAATTGGAGACCCCAAGTTTTAAGAAAAAAGAAACATGCACGTGCATCTGCTAGGGCAATTTTGACCCTGCAATGAAACATGGGAAGTAAGGCGACGTGAAACAATTCTCGCTGTAATAGATGTTGCGTGAAGAATCATCCGCCTGCAGGACAGAACTTTGAGTCCTAGAAATTGAGCGCTCAACGTGTCTTCTGAGCCGGATCCCTGCCTGTCTCTCAATGCGCCTCACCCGCCACCGAGGGCCGTCCTTTGCTGCAGTGTGGGCCTTGGATTCATTCGGGGAAAACAAGCTAGCGTGAAGTCAATAAATACACGAATGTTTGCACAGAGACACATTGCGGGGAAAATCAAGATGTTTGCCGGCACAGGGGGAGGGACCTCAGATAGCAAGGACATTTTCCAATGAGGAGATTCGGTGAGCATGACAATGTGCGGCAAACAGGCAACACCCTACAAGAACACCATGAAGTTGAGCCATGGAGCCACCGGCTGCAGCCAAAGCGTCCCCGACTGGTCCTTACTTGCGCAGTTTACAATGACTCAAACGAAAAGTTGTCGGCGAGATGATGCAGCACAGACATAACCAAAAGAGACGCTCGCACACGACATGAATTATGTCGGGACTCGGCAATGATGGGCAAGGCCAGCTGCTGCTGCAGCTGCTGGTGCTGCTGCATCTGCAGCAGCTGCTGCGCGGTCAAGGGTGTCCCCGCAGGGGCATCGACTGAGCAAAACCTGTTCTTGCGCCTGGTGTTCCACAATAAAAAACGTTTGCGTGTGATCTCGTTTATCCCGCATCGGAATGGTGATCGCGATACTGGTATTTGCAACTTGTCCACACTGCGAATTACGCGCCCGCCCTGCCCCCCCCCCCCTTCGCTCCTCCTCTCCCGACATGCTTCGGTCTATAAGTTTGCATCGACAGCACAAGAAACAAACGTTTGCGCACGATTTTGTTCATCCCGCATCGGAATGACCATCGTGATACTGGTATTTGCAACTTGTGCACACCACCAATTACGCGCCCGCCCTGCCCCCCCCCCATAGCCCCAGCCTCAGGACGTGAACTTGTTATGCGACTTGAAAGACACAATGATGCTACTGGTATCTGCAAGTTTCTCGACGGATTCGTGGTTTCCGGGGATCGGCAGGGGTCCCGCCTGGAGGCCCCCCCGTGCCTCCTGCTATGGATGCCTCTGGGTCGGTGGCCCGCCCCTGCCTCCTCCTGTGGATGCCTCTGGGTCGGTGGCCCGGCCCCTGCCTCCTACCCAACACGGATTTAGCGTCTGTTTGCACGGATTGCGTGTATTTGCACGGATGTAATGTTTACTTGCACGTTAGCGTACATTTGCATGCATTCACTGTGTTATAGTTGCACGGATTTAGTGTGTATTTGCGCGGATTTAATGTGTATTTGCACGGGATTAAACACGGATTTACTGTATATTCTTGCGGATTTAGCGTGTATATGCACAGGTTTTTTATGTATATTTGCACGATTTAATATTGTACACACGGATTTAATGTTTGGTGTATACTTGCACGCATTTCATGTGCGTTTGCACGGATTCAGTGTGTGTTTGCCCGGATCGTGTTGGCCCGATCCCCCCTTCTATCCGCCCCCTCCCCCCGCGCCCCTCCCCCCCCCCCCCAACAAAAATCCTCACCCCTCCCTCTCCCCCCGCACGAGCTTTATTCGTGTGTGGGGTGCTTTTTTTGAAAAACCGAGACCTTTAAAACCAAAAAGTGCCCGGCGGCATGTCGTTTGGGCTCGAATTCTTTTTTGAATTTTGTTTTGGGTTTTCCGCGATCAGGCACCAGTTCCGTTTGTATTTTAAGCCCAGAATGGGAGGACCTCGAGATCGGCCCTCCGGCCTAATAAAAACGCTATTCTATGAACAAAATTTGTCACCCAAAACGCCCACCCCAAAATGCAGGAAATTTAGCTTTAAACGCCAAACCCTCAACGTTTATGGTTTAGGCCCGAATCTGCACCAGTACCGTTTGTATTTTAGGCCCAGAATGGAAGGGATCTCGAGATCGGCCCTCCGGCCTCATAAAAACGCTATTCTATGAACAGAATTTGTCACCCAAAACGCCCACCCCAAAATCCAGGAAATTTTGCTTTAAACGCTAAACCCTAAACGTTTATGGTTTAAGCCCGGATCTGCACCAGTTCGGTCTGTATTCTAGGCCCAGAATAGGGGGGGACCTCGAGATCGGCCCTCCGGCCTAATAAAAACGCTATTCTATGAACAGAATTTGTCACCCAAAACGCACACCCCAAAATCCAAGAAATTTGGCTTTGAACGCTAAACCTTAAACGTTTATAGTTTAAGCCCGAATCTGCATCAGTTCCGTTAGTATTTTAGGCCCAGAATGGGGGGGACCTCGATATCGGCCCTCCGGCCTAATAAAAACGCTATTCTATGAACAGAATTTGTCACCCAAAACGCCCACCCCAAAATCCAGGAAATTTGGATTAAGTTTAGCAAACCCCCATTCAAGGTTCATGAATAGGGTTCTTCCAAACCCTATGGTTTAGCAAACCCCCATTCAAGGTTTATTAAATTTAGGGTTTAGCAAACCGTGGGGTTTAGCAAACACCCATTTAAGGTTTATTAACTAATTTAGGGCTTAGCAAACCCTAGGGTTTAGCAAACCCCCATTTAAGGCTTATTAATTCTTAATCAAAGGTTTAGCAAACCCTAAGGTTTATGTAGGGTTTAGCAACCCTAGAGTTTAGTAAACTCCCATTCAGGGTTTATTAAACCCTAATTCAGGGTTTAATAAGCCCTAGGGTTTAGCAAACCCCCATTCAGGGTTTATTAAACCCACATTTAGGGTTTAGCAAACCCCCATGCAAGGTTTATTAATAATTCAGGGTTTAGCAAACCCTAGGGTTTAGAAAACCCCCATGCAGGGTTTATTTAACTCTAATTTAGGGTTTAGCAAACCCTAGGGTTTAGCAAGCCCCCATTCAGGGTTAATTAACCTAGGGTTTAGTAAGCAGGGTTTATTAAACTCTAATCTAGGGTTTAGCAAACCCCCAATTAGGGTATATTAAACCCTAATTCAAGGTTTAGCAAACCCTAGGGTTTAGCAAACCCCCGGGACCAAGACCTACAATTAAGGACCCGGAGCCTAAAATTAAGGGCCCGAAGCTCAAAATTAAGGGCCAGGACCTAAAATTCAGGACCCGGAAACCCCCAAAGCCCCCAAGAACCCAACACCCGATCCAAAAACCTAGAACCCTAGCCACCGAAACCAAAACAAAACTCGGAAAACTCAAAAAAACCTCCGAAAACCAAAACAAAAACCTAAAAAAACCCAAAAAACATCAGAAAAAAACACAGTTTAATATTCTCAAAAACGCACCCCGCACACGAAGCAAGCTCAATAAACCCTAAACCCCAAACCCTAAACCCTAAACCTTAAACCCCTAAACCTTAAACCCCTAAACCTTAAACCCCTAAACCTTAAACCCTAAACCCTAACCCCTAAACGCTAAACCCTAAACCCCAAACCCCAACCCCCACTAAGTCCCCGGACCCTCCAAGTAGGGACTCCTGGGCTTCTGGGGATGGAGAGTCTAAAAGCTGGAACCCTGCTTAGGGTTTAGGGGTTTAGGGGAACCCTAGGGTTTAGGGTTTGGGGGTTTAGGGTTTAGGGTTTAGGGTTTTAGGGGTTTAGGGGTTAGGGTTTAGGGGTTTTAGGGTTTAGGGGTTTTAGGGTTTAGGGTTTAGGGGTTTAGGGTTTAAGGGTTTAGGGTTTAGGGGTTTAGGGTTTAGGGTTTCGGGTTTAAAGAGTCTAAAGGCTGGAACCCTGCTTGGAGGTTCATGGGTAGTTATAAGGGTTCCGTTGAGGGCTCCTTTGAAGGGATCTACAGGGATTCCAAAAGGGTATAGGGTAGGGTCTGCTTGGAGGTTCATGGGTAACCAGTTAGAGGTATGTAGGGTTTACAAGTAGGATAACGATAGTTATAGCCAGAATGCTGGGACTTCTGAAAAGCACTTAAAACTACCCATGAACCTCCAAGCAGCTTAGCATAATCTGGCCGTACCTGCGGTCTCGGTGCCACAACTCTTCTGGCTCTCCACCAAACCGTTTAGGATTCACGCAGGGCAGCTAGGTCCTAAACCCTACTTGAAGGTTCATGGGTAGCTATAAGCAGGGTTTTAAGTACGATAACTATAGCTATAACCCATGTTAGGGGACTTATAAGCCTACTTATAACTACCCATGAACCTCCAAGTAAGCTCCGACAGTGGCATCACCACCTTCGCTGGATGCCATGGATTTGGGCTTCCAGCCTCGACGCCTCAGGCTGGATGGGTACTGTTGATGATTTAAATCCTGCATTACCCTAAGGACCCTAGACTATGGGAATTATGGTGTATTCCTTATTATGGGTGATGCAGGATTTATATCATCAGCCGTAGTAAGGCTAAGGTTTAGGGTTCTGGGCTTTTGGAGGTTTGGTAAGTTTAGGGCCTGCTTGAACTACCATAACAGCCATAAGGTACTTATACTATAGACCCTAATATAGGATGTCTAGGGCCCTACCAAAAGAGGCAGGTGTTGGTAGGTCAAGGTAGGTTCAGGGCTTTCAGGGCTTTCGAGGTTTGCGGTTTAGAGCTTTGTCGAGAACTCAGGGCTTGGAGAGTATACGGAAGACGGATCATGATTAAGATTTCAAGGTTTGAGGCATTTAAGTGATTTACATGTTCTGTACAATGCTGCATATTGGAGCCTAGATTGCTACTGTAGAGCAAGACGGTATAAATATGAACCTTACCGGAAGGATCAAGATGTTCTCCTAGAAACGGTTTTGATGTTTCCTGACAGCTTAGAAGCTGCCCCCATCCTGTAATAGTGACTATAAGGATTATATAGGATTGGACTAGGGCCCTATTCTATTCCTATTATACCACTATTACAGGGTGGGGGCCCCTTCTAAAGTACACCCCATAAAGACTCTGATCAAAAACGCAAACAGCCGTTACAAACCCTGAGGCTACACCGGGTGTGCCTTGCAACCGGCAGGAATCCCATGCTTGCAAAGCCAAGCCTAAGCCCAAACGTTTAGGGCTTACTGGGCCTTGATGAAACCTACCATTTTGATGACATAAAATATCAAAAAATCATCACAAAGAACCCTGAAAAAGGTAGGCTCTTTAGGGTCCAGGTCACTTCGGGTTGAGGGTCCGGAAGCCCCAGAAGATCGGGCCAGACGTGGCTTTGGCATACTCTTTTGAAAGGTCTCAAAGGGAACCCCTTAAACCTAGTAGAGTAGGTAACCTTTATAGGGACTATTCTAGGGTTGAGGGCTTTGGATTTGGGGTTCGAGGTTTAGGCCTGAGCATGGTATTTTCTGATTCAATGGAGATGAGCAAACCCAATCCGTCTTTGGGTGCCGACCGAAGCAAGTGCTATGTAGCCCAGACGACCTCCTTGGCGAAGCAAGGACATATGTGTATATGTGTACATATATAAATACATATGAGTTTATACATATATATATATGTATAAGTATACATATATATATATATATATATACACATTTATGTATGTACATAACTGTATATCCAAGACCTCTACCCTTCACAGTCAACAACTAATTAACATAACACCCTAAACCCCAAAGCCCGAACCCTAAACCAACAAGCTGAACAACCACCATGGCCCTGAACCTGCGCTACAGGAAGAACAACATGCAGCAGGAGACTCCGGCTGGGTCATGTGCACGCATTTCTGCTCTTGCATGAGATGGAGGCACTTACTTGCTTAAACTTACGAGGCCTTGGCTTAAATTTGCATTCGCTCGTCTGACGTTAATGTGTCCTTTTGTCTCTTTGGGGCGAAAAGATGCAAACAGTCTGCAGCCACATCTGAGTTTGACCGTCGCAGGCATGACCTCTTTTGTACTATTCCCAAAACGGCACTGTCTTCTCTTCCCTAAACTCTAGACCCTAAACCCCTAAGCCCCAAACCCCTTAAACCCTAAACCCCTAAGCTCTAAACCACCAAACCCTGAACCCCAAAGCCCTAAATCCTTTAACCCTAAACCCAAAAACCCTACATAAGCACTAAACCCTTAAAACCCCGAAACCAAAACCCCTACAAAAGCCCTAAACCCTTTTTGCACCGTGTGGTGCCCGGCCTCCGCTCCATCAGTGCTACATCTGAAGCCCGGAAAAATCTGAACCCCAAGACCAAACCTATCCCCAAGGGTCCAAATTTAAAGGACCCAATAATGAGGTACTTGGGCTTGCGGTAGTAGTTACGCAGGTTAGTATTTTGGAGGGGTATATGATTATTAGGTACTTGGACCCTTGGGGTATACTATTATATACTAGGACGACGACGACGACTGCTACTGCTACTGCTACTGCTACTGCTCCTGCTCCTACTCCTACTCCTACTCCTACTCCTACTCCTGCTCCTACTCCTACTCCTACTCCTGCTCCTACTCCTACTCCTACTCCTACTCCTACTACTACTACTACTACTACTACTACTACTACTACTACTACTACTACTACTACTACTACTACTACTACCGCTACTGCGGCTACCTGTACTACTACAACTACAGCAACTCGTACTGGACTAGGAAACCCAATCCGAGATTCAAAACCCAAACTGAAACCTTACATCCTCAACCCTTAACCGCTTAACTGCCGTAAACCCTAAACCCGAAACACTTAATTAAAACCCAAACCCCTCGGCCCGAAATCCAAAAGCAGCCCCTTGAAAGAAATCCGAAAACCCAATCATCAACAGCCGCCGAAGGGTCAGAGCGTTTTCCAGGCCGCGAGCTGTGTTCGGCCAGCAGGCCTCCGGGTCTATATCAGTGTTCTGATTTCAGTTCTGTTTTTGGCGGCGGGGGGTAGCGGTTTATGGTCTATCGGGTGCGCATGTCATGGCTGCTATACTCCTGCCATATAGGCTTTGCTTGAACTATCAACCTCGACTTTTTTTGCAGGGTACCTAGAATCTCGAAATAAGACTGTACAGCAACAACCTGCAAAAGGAAAGCTATCGTGACTTGAGCTAGCCCTAAGGGTCCAAGTACACAATTATCATATACTCGCAAAAACGGTAACCTACATATCTATTATCCCAAACCCGAGTACCTAATTACTGGATCCTTTGGACCCTTAGGGGAGGGCCATATACAGGTAGCTGGATGTCCATGGGGTCGGGGCTGATCCGGGATCTACGTCCCTTGGGTTCACAGCGTGGTCGCACCAGGCTTTGTGGACGGATAGAGTGGCCTTTTAATAATCAGAGCAAGGTTCCTTTAAAGGGATTTATAAGGGTTACTATAAGGGATCTATAAGGGTACTATAAATTAGGGCCTTAATGATTAGAATAGGGTTTGGGGGGGTATATTCTACTAGACGTATAATAAGGACCCCACCCAAAATATAGTGCTGGTGTTTGTTGAGGCACCTATACTAACTCCAAGGTTTTCTTCAGGGTGTCCTCGTCAGAGCAACTGCCCAGCGTTCGACGAAAACCCTCAAACCAATACCCTAAAAATCTGGGGCTGAACCTTACCTATAGTCTCCATTGTAGTTCCTTTTTTTGGTTGACCAAAATGTCTATTATAGGGTCCTAACCATAAAACTGGTCAACCAAAAAAAGGGACTACAATGGAGACTATAGGTAAACCTCCCAAACCCTGAACCCCAAAGCCCTAAACCTTAAATAAAACACCTCAAAACCTCAAGTCCCTTCTTCCAGAGAACCTCCAGGGCAACCAACATCAAGCGGCAACTGACTTCTTGGGGCTTTAGGGCTTAGTCTCCTTTACATTAGTTAGCTTATAGTTTCGTTCAGTTTAGGGCGTGCACACAGACCCTAAACCCGACCCTATAGACATGTGGCCACAAGGTTTGGAGCTGATTTCCAGCTTTTAAAGCTTCGGTGCGGGGCTCAGCCTGTAGAGAATACTGGGTTCTGTAAGCAAGCCAGTTAAGGTTTAGGATGGATCGCAGTCTACCTAGAGGCCCATACCCGACCCCTTTTTTAGGATACCTAGTCTTATGGTTAGGATCTGTTTTCTTAAAGAGTAGGCGCCCTAGAAAAAGGGGTAGGGTATCAGCCTCTAAGTAGGGTAGAAGGGTAGAAGTGGTGCCCGGCCGAGCGAACTGGTTGAAAACACCAGAGTGCAGAGATCAGGAGCCCCAAACTCTGTAGAGGCACTAATTAGGCCGTAGATCATAAATCCGAACTTCAACTAAGCACTACATATTGAGCCTTAAGCACTACGCATTTTATAAACCCTGAACCACCCTAAACCCTAAGCCCACCAAAGCAACATGTTGCACGTGGTTGCGCTGCGAGAGCCCTCAGACCGATTTTCTTCTTCACGCTTCAATCGCAAGGCTCCTGAACTCCATTCCCCTATGGGTCCATGTACCCATATAGCATATACTTTGGGCCCAATGTACCTATATAGGGAATACTTTAAGGCCGATGTATATACTATATGAGCACATGGACCCTTAGGGTTCGGCTCAATGAGGAGCCATCTTCACGCTGCATCTTGGGCAGCCCGGTCAACCTCTTGGCCCTGAGCATGGTCACTCCACCACATCCGGCCGCTCCACCCCCTACACCCTCAACCCTAAACCCCTAAACCCTAAACCCCTAAACCCCAAACCCCTAAACCCTAAACCCTAAACGCTTGGTCAACATGGCCAACAGCTGCAGCACGACATAGCAGTGCCACAGGTGCCGAAACATTCGATACAACAACACCAGGGCTGACACGGAGCGCAGGCCAACACAAACGCCAATAAAGCCCTCGCGGATCACAGAACAGACCACTCGTATAGACCTTATTGGACCCTCATCGACTCCTTATGCGGGCCATTCAGCCCCTCCCCTTAATTACGACCCCCGAACCCTAAACCTTAAATCCTTAACCCTAAACCCTAAGAGTCTTGATGAACAACTCTTTTTTCGTGAGATAAGGGCGGACCTCGGTGCAGGCGAGCCCGTTCGAAGCGCACACAGCATCGCAGTTCTCGTCCTGCTATCAGGGCTTTGGGTTTAGAGGTTGAGGGCTTTGGGGTTCAGGGTTTGGGGCTTGAAGCCTTCGGGTGTAACAGGGTTTAAGGTCTAAGGCCTTATAAGGTTCAGAGTTTCTGGTTCACCCTACCTGTCGGGTTTCAGGCCAAGGAAGGGTAGCTCCTTCGGACGTAGCCCGTTTCGAGACTCAAAGGGTCCAAGGTACTGTTAGGGGGATCCTTCCCTAAATCATATTTTAATTGTAATTCCTAATATAGAAACCCCACGTTCTACTTTATAATAGGTACTTTGGACCCTTTGGGAGGGTCCATTGCAGCGAACTCGTCGGAGACCGGGTAAGGTGGCTTTCTCCTGCGCGTTGGCCCAGCCGTAGCCAATGTGGAGACTCCCAAACCCTTGAATTATAAGGAATTCACCTTCATTCTTACTAGGGTCTCTATTGTAATTTACAGTATATTCCTCAATTAGGCATGGGTCTCTGGGAATGCAGAGGTGGTCCAGGGAACCAACCCACTGCACTCGTGAAGGCGGTGATGTCCGGGGCAGCATCGACGTAGACACCGGGGGTCTGGATGGTTGTTTGGCTGCTATACATATACAAAGATACATATACATATATGTATATAATATACCTTTACATAAACATACATACATATATACATATATGCATATATATATATACATATATATCTATACACACATACATACATACATACATACATACATACATACATATATACATACAGACTCTACAATGAAGGAAGAGGCGCAGCGATCCCAGTGCAGCAGTTTCCGAGTTTGTTCCATGTAAGCTCTCATCGTCAACTATTGAAGCCTCAACCCTCAAGCCTAAACCCTCCACCCTTGACCTCAGTCCCTAAACCTTTCAAACCTCCAACCCAATCTTCGTCATCTGCCCCTCCACCTCCGGCAGTCACAGAAGACCCAAGTACCACCAACAAGGCAATGCAAGTTCAATGACACACTCCAAGAAGATGGCAGGCACAATGTAGGAACCTGATTACGAAACCCTGGGTCTTTATTGAGGTTCCTTAAATATGTGTCCTCATCTATTGGGGGTATGGGACCAGGGTTTCTTAATCAGGTCCCTACATTAAGTACGAATATGCCAAACAAAGACACACATAGAGAATAATGCATGTGGACAGCTAGATAACAGTCAGACAGAGAGACAGGCACAATTCTCGACAAGTGCCCACCTCCCAGGCGATGGAGATCTGCCACTGGACATCTGTCGCGCTGGACCTCTTCTGGGAAGGGTACAAAGTAGCTGTGGCAACAGACGGTTGTATAGGTGCCAGGATAACTAAACTATTGTTTTTGAGCCGATCGTATCCCTGAGGCTCTAAGGACTCATATATTAAGGCTTTTGGGCAAAAAGACCATACTGCATAAGGCTTCTGGGCTGTTTTGAGCCTTAGGGTACTAGACTGACCTCTAGGTGACCTCACGTCTCGCAAAGGACACCGCCGCAACCTGACCGACATGAGGTTTAGGTTAGAAGCTGCCCCCACCCTGTAATAGTGACTATAAGGATTATATTGGAGCCCTATTATATTCCTATTATACCACTATTACAGGTTGGGGGCCCCTTCTAACGTTTAGGGTTTAGGGTTTCGGGCCGACATGACATCCACAACTCGACTAGGGTATCTCTTAACAGATGATTAGAAAAGGTATCTTTTTATAGGGCTACATTTTGTATAGTGATAGTTCCTTCTAAGGAAATATGATACGGATTCCTTTATAAGGGTTACGAAAAGGATACCCTTTCGAGTGTATGCAATGAGAGTGCCTTTTAACACTTTCTAATACCGGTACTTTTGCAAGGGTTATCATAAAGGTATCTTCTGAAGGATGACAATACAGGCATATACCTTCACGATGGGTTATGATGCCAGTGCTTTGTTATGATGCCAGTGCTTTTTGAAGGTTTTTACTAGAAAGGCACTTTAGGTTGAAGAAGCTCAAGCTTGCAGCTTTCCGTGTCATGATTCTGAACATTGCGGGCAGAGGTCGGATGCTGCAGCTTCCACAACACTTGGGTCAATCCTCTGCAAACGTATGTCGCAAAGGAGTGAACCTGAACATACACAAAGGGCCTAGGGTGTGGGGTTCAGGATTGTATGTTTCCTGTTTCCATGGAACTCTGCTGAGGGCTTCGGCTCCGGCGATCTGTGCTTCCGAGCCATCATGGACAAGAAACTCCCATACCATCAGCAAACTAAAACATAAACCTGTACCTAAACCCCAAAACCCCTCAAACCCTATACACTCTAAACCCCCAAACCCTACTAAATCCTAGCCCTAGACCCCTTTGCGAATTGCAGAGGCGCCTCAAGCAGATGCTCCAGAGTCCAAACCACCTGGGCCCAAGTTGGAGTCTTGATGGGACTGCTACGGTTGATGATATACACCCTGCATTACCCATAATAAGGAATATACCATACTTCCCAAAGTCTAGGGTCATCAAGGTAATGCAGAATTTAGATCATCAGCTGTAGCGCGTGGGGCCAAGGAGTACGAAACCGATGTAAGGTACAGGGGCGTCAAGTATAGGGACTTTACTGGTCGGAAAAGCCGTTCGGGCTATATACAGGTAGACTCATAGTAAGGAACCCTACCGAACCACTAAAGGATTCCGACCCCCACTACGAGAGTGTTGTTTACAGTTTTGGGGGCTGTGTGGTCTTGTTAGCCAAACTCAGAAAAAAAACTACAAACGGTGAACCTGAAGCCCTCAAGCCCCAAATCGTAAGCCCACTGCACAAGCCGTGGTCCATGCTGCGGCGCCAGCATGACCAGCTAGATCCGAAACCAAGGAAACTGAGGCCTTCGAGAAGCCTCTGCTGTTGTTTGCGGTTTCGGGTTCTTGGGGGTTGGAGTTTAGGGTTTTTTAGGGGTTCACCAAAGATCTGACCTGTTTGAGCTGCAGGTATGGCTTAAACCTTGAGCAACAAACCAAGAACCCGACATCCCAAGCCCAGGATTTCCTATAAGCGTAGACAATCCTCACTTTGTTCAATTTTGGATGCGTTGGCTCTTGGTGTCCAGTTTGCCGAGATGGGCACGTTGCTTAGTGATTTGTTCAAATCGGTTTCGGACTTAGCCTGAGTGTTTGTAAACTGTGTCTTTGCTATGCCTGCCGACCGTCGGCTTACAACTCTGAGACAAGGTCTTGGATTTCGGGTTTACTCTGAGGCTCTAAGGACTCAAAATTTAAGGCTTTTGGGCCCCAAGGCCATATTATGTACGGCTTTTGGGCCATTTTGAGCCTTAGCATTAGGGCTTGCGATTCAGTAGCGTTGTCTCGTGACTTGCGAGTCTGACGAACCGCCCCGTGAGCTAAATCTAACTTTCGAGCCAGAGGCACCGAACAGGCGAACATGGAGACAGAGTAGTGGGAGTTTCCGAAAATTAGGGGTACCTTGTTTTGAGGTCCTTATATGAAGGATCCTACTATTTAGGGTACTATATTTGGTTCCCCTATTTTTGGAAACTCCCAGTAAGCCTTCGAGGAACCCTAACTTACCTTTGGTTGGTAGGGAATGGAGGAATGGGGTACAATTATACTATTACTACCATTCTTCCATTCCCTGCTAACCAAAGGTAAGCTAAGGGCCCGAAGGACCCAATAATTAGGTACTCGGGTTTGGGATAGTAGTTATATGTAGGTTACCATTTTTGAGAGTATATGATAATTTGGTACTTGGGCCCTTTGGGGGAGTGTAGGGTTTTGGCTTTTCCAGGACTTTGTGTTGGGCAACCATGACTAACACGCCCACCACTCCCAAAAATGCTTCTCCGCGTCTGGCCGCCACAACACTGCAGTGCAACAGACCACACCACATGACACCACCCCCCGAACCCTAAACCCACCCTAAACCCTAAACCCCTAAACCCTAAACCCTAAGCCCCAAGCCCTAAACCCTAAGCCCTGAACCCCTAAACCCTAACCCCGAACCCTAAACCCCTAAGGCCCTTGACCCTTCTCCCAGTTCCACTCAATCTTGATTCTTGAATGCAACAGCAAATTCAAACTCTAGCCCACTGCCTAAGGGTCCATGTACCCATGTAGAGATACATGCGCCCCAAAGTATCCAATAGGGACTACATTAAGGCCAATGTATATACTATATGAGTACTTGGACCCTTAGGGACTCTCACCCTCAGCCCCAAACGCCAAAGCCCTACACACACTAAGCCCTGCAATTCCTCCCACTCCTGTAGATGTTTAGGCCAGGGGACTTGATAATTGGAATAAGCTTTCTAGGCACATAAGACTGTAGTCGGAGCACCTACACAGGGATAATTACTACGTATTACTAGTTCTTCCGGAAAGCTTACAAAACCCTTGTACAACCCATTGCAAAACAACATCGAACCCAAATAAAGCCCAGATAGCAAGCATTTCCAGTAACCCGTATTCCTCCAGCCTTGAATTGCGGGCTTTGTGTTTGAAGTCAGGAGTGTTTTGAATTTAGGGTTCCAGGGTAGGGTTCAAGGTTTAGGGTTTTGATGGCCAAGGGTTTGGGTTCTAGGGTTCAGGATCTCTTGGAGCTTGGTTCCCTTTCCCAAAGGGTCCTAGGTACTGTTATGGGAGATACTTCCCCAAATCATAGTGATAATTCCTAGTATAGAAACCTTACATTCTACTATATAGGTACTTTGGACCCTTTGGGTTTGTAAGCAAGTTAGTTTAAGCTAGCACATAATCATTGAAAACCATACTCCGTACCCCATATCCCTATGTGGTGATGTAGCTTGACCAGAACACAGTTGAACATGAAGAACACGACTGTCAATCAGAGTTTTAGGTATTCAGTGTTTTGGCGGCATGGGGCTGGCATTTTAGGATGGTACTTGCGGGTGCTTACCTTCCAACAAGATACTGGTTTTCCTGGGATTTCATCGTGCTAAAGGTAGAAACATATTACACTGCAATGGCTGCTCATGGGGTAGCCTGGTCGACAACTGGTGACCCTTCGTAGGGCTGCATAGTACATTGAGACATACCAAATTTTGGCGACATACGGCCACATCTCAGGAACCCAACAAGCATGCTCGGTACCTGGTGTATTTGGGGGCTTAGTGCTTAGGGCTTGCGGTTTAGGATTTCAGGTTCTAGGGTCTTGGAGTATGTCTTACCAGTCGGCATGAGATTCATTACAACTGAGGTTCAGTAACCCTGCATAGCACAAACCTGACAAGCCCAAATCCGAAACCCTGCGCCGTGAACCTCGGACTATAAACGTGCAAAACACGCAGGGGCCGTGAAAATTGAAACCGCGTTTCGGCTTCGCCAGAGTGTGTGATTGGTGGAGACTCTGGGGGAGATTATGCTTAAACCCTAAACCCTAAACCCCTTAACCGTAAACCCTTAAATAAACCCTAAACCCTAAACCCTGGTCCTGTATTTTCCTTTTGAACCTCGGCGCGTGGCCCCGAGCAGGCGCGTCGCAAGCGGCCTCTTGGAAGCGGCTGCAGCCGCTGCTCTGAGGCAGAGAAACTACTTAAAGGATCATGGGGCTTAGTAAGTAGGGCTTAGGGTTCCCTTTAAAAGTACTATGGGAGCTATAAGGATCATATTTCTGTAATAGGGTTCCTTAAAGGGATCTATAGGGTTCTATACTTTATGGGACTTCGTCAGTATGGTTATAAATACCATAATTGGGGTCAGAAGTAATTGTAAGTGTAGTTACCCTAGTAATAACCCCAGTTACTAAGTCCCATGATCCTCCAAGTGCCCTAAGACTCCACGTGCCCATATAGTAGGCACTTAGTCCTTAAAGGGGTGCCTAAAGGGGTACTTTAAGGCCTAAGTACCTACCACATGGGTACATGTAGCCCTTAGGCTAGAGGCTTAGGTTGATGGTGGTTTACCGAGCCCTATAAAACCTACCTTTGTAGGGCACCTTAATATGCTGTCCTGGTCTAAGTCCTTAAGGAGGTAGGTTATAGCTTGGTTAACATATGCCTAGGAACCATAAAAACTCCAATATTCCCAGAGCATGTAGGAACTCATTCCTGAGGAACTTCGAAGTATTCAGCTTCGTACGTTGACATTCAGAATTACTCTTGCAAGGTCCCCGGCTTGGCCCCGACTAGTGTTCAGGGTCGACGGCTCTTCAAGCCTCAACCGAAAACCACAAACCCCGAAACCCTAAAATAACCTTAAAACCCTGAACGCCCTAACAACCCTCAACTCTAACAACCTCTAAAGCGGAAAACCCTAAACCCCAAATCCTAACGACCTGAAAAGCCCTAAACACCCTATAATATAACAACCCTAAACTCAAAGCAGCCCTAAAGCGGAAAACCCTAACCGAGCCATGCAGTGCCCGAGGCTTTCCCACTGCTTCCAGGGACCTTATTGAGTGGGTCCTTCAGGGGTCTAGGGCCCCAACTATATCTGGACCCCTTCTTAGGGTTCCTTATGATGGCTCCTGTATATAAGTCCTTAAAAGGGCAGGTTATTCTCTGAAGACTAAACCCTTAACCCTAGGGCTCAAACTGCAAGGTCCTTGGAAGCAGAGACCCCAAATAACCTACCTTCTTGGGGTTCCTTATTATTATGATTTCCTTGTACTCACCCTTCAAAGCTCTAAACCCTAAACCTCTTATAGAACCCTTATAGATCCCTTTTTGGAACTCTCGAAGGGAACTTTCGCCGACGGATTATTCGCAAAATCCGATCCCACATCGGAAAGGCCATACCCCAGTCTTCGAGACAACCACATAATTCCAAACGCCATAGGACCGTGCCCTCTCAAGGAACCGTAGGGTTTTTCAGGGCTCTAAGGATAACGTCCTTGGAAGCACAGGGCTCTCAGAGGACAAAGGAGTTGGAGCTGGCGGAAGCTCTGTCCTCAATGCTGCACAGCTACCCTGAAAACTACAACCCTAAGGCTCTATTAAGGAGCCTTGACCCCTGGACCCTAAGGAAGCTCGCTTAGTTCATAAGATTCCCTTAAAAAAAGGGATCTACAACGGATCCTTACTTGGAGGGTCGGGGGACTTAGTAACTGGTTATTTTAGGGACTTATAAGTGCCATAGCCCCAATTAGGGTCCCTATTAACGTACTTATACGTCTATATAATAACTACTTACTAAGTCGCTCGACCCACCAACTAACCTGAAAACTACAACCCTAAGGCTCTAAGGACTCATATATCAAGGCTTTTCGGCCAAACTAAATCAGGGTCTTTGGGCTGCTCTTATCCCTAAGGCTCTAAGGACTCAGATAATAAGGCTTTTGGGTCCAAAGACCATACTATATAAGGCTTTTGGGCTATGTTGAGCCTGAGGGCAATCCAGGGGGCTATCGAATTGTATTGAATGTAGGGTTCTTTCAGAGGATTCCTATAAGGGTTTGGGTTTAGGGCTTAGGGTGTATAAGGGTCTAGAATGGGGGCCTTAGATATTACGAATTGCGCTTTGGGGTATATATGTTTGGAATAGTTAGAAGGAGATCCGCAAAGTCCGCAAGCTGTTGGCAAGGAATACTCCCCAAGGAAGCAGACGGCTCCAGCGCAATCTCTGGATACTACCCAGCGATCCCAATTCACTGAAAAGAAACATACTCACACACGCAGAATTCACCGAGAAGCACAAAAAATCACTGCAAATGTATCATCTAACCTAACCCATAAATTCTTAAATATAGTACCGTTTCACGAATGGCGCGCTGCAGAAAGTTTAAGGGTCCAGGTATTCCGTAATCTAGAGGTCATGGGATCCCTGCAAAGACTTTCGAGCTGGCGTCTCTTTCGGCGAGATGGCTACAATGTACCCACAT